AACCCAACAACAACGCGGGGTATAACCGAGTGGGTTTTACCACTTGTTTACGAAAGAAAGTTTGGTGAAATCGTTGATAAGAGGCTGAGCGAGGAGCATGTGGAAGAGAAGCTGAAGAAAGTAGTCTTTGTGGGGCTTATGTGTGCTCAGACAGATCCAGAAAAGAGACCAACAATGTCTGAAGTGGTGGAGATGCTGGTGAATGAATCAAAGGAGAAAATGTCTGAACTTGAAGCCAATCCGCTCTTCAAGAATCCATATAGCAGCAACGAAAACAATAGAGAGCAGGTTGCAGAGGAAAGCTCAGATGTGATCTCAGAAGAGAAAGATCAACAACAACAACAACAACAAGAATAGGAATCATTAGGCACAGGAATTCGTTTACTCAGATTATTTTTTATGATCATCTGTTCATATTTGGCTAGTTTTTCTCTATCACTGGATCATTATCCGGAGGTCGTGCTTATTTTTTTTGGTGTGTTTCTTGGTTCATATTTCATAACATTGATTTGATCATTACTGGAGATTAGAGTTTGTAAGGTGTGGTATTGGCTCATAAAAAGGCAATTGTGATACTTTTGGTATTCTTGAAAGATATGAAACTTTTTATTCTGGATTATACTGAAACTTTCTCATCCTTAACACGATCTTTTCACAATGAGCTGAATTACATATACACATTTTTTTACCAATCAGTTGTGTTTCTTGGAGGAAGATGATGATGATAGGAACAAAAGGATAACAGAGATTACAACAGGAGCGATGATAATGAAGAGGGCTAGTGTGAGATTAGGTCTTGTGATCTGTGGGAACAATACACTTCCGTATTTGATTATAGCTGCGCCTGCCACTGAACCAACTCCGATCTTCAACAAGTAGTTTAAGTCCTCCTGTTGAAGGATTAAAAAAAAAAAAAGAGGGCTTATTTGTATTTTTGAATCATTTGAGTCCAAAAATTAAGTAAATATCTGACTTTTTGGGATCAAATTCAAAACATAGGGGCTATTTTATAATTTTGAATTCTTTGAGCCCCTCAACAAAAAAAACAAACAAACAGCTTTGCTCTCTAGTCCACAGAACTGACCTGAATTCCTTGACCGTTATCTGCTTGTTCCGACCGGTCATCGGAAGCCGCAACACGAAATGACCGTTTTGTCCCTGAAGAGTTTGACGGATTTCGAAAAATGGTCACGAATTTGACACTACTCATTGTCATTTTCTTCGTGGGTTCAAAGCTCCGGTGAACAGAGCTCGAACGAGAAAGCGTCGGAACTCCAATCGCCATACCGGGAACGAAGACAGAACTTGACATATCTATCTCCTCTCTCTAAATCTGGCGTTTTGCGTGAACAGAGGATAAGAGAGACACGACGCCTACCTAAAACACATCTCACGTTTTGCGTCGATTCTTGAAACTTACGCGTCCCCAAACGCATACGCAACCCATAATAAATTAATATTCGTAAGAAGATATTACGGTAGTCCAAGTTTATTACAGTATTTTTTAAAAAGATAAAACCATTTGTAATTAGCATAGTTTCACGAAAAACCTGATAAAATCATTTCTCAAGGATCTTGCTCATAACAGTTCTTGCTAGATCAATGCTTCCTTCTTCCTCTTCTACTTCTTCTTCTGTTCCGGCTTCTCTGACTGATACTCCATGTCCGGACAAAGAGCAACGAAGAACAGAGTTAACCTGCTTCCTTAATCTGGCATTATCAATCAGAACCTCTATCAGCATCTTCCTTACTACATCGTCTGTTCCACGATGCCCTCCTGATGATAGCTTCAGCTTTTCCACTTCCTCTGAGAGAAGCTGCGTCTGTTTTCGAGAATACTTTAACCTTTTTGTCTCAACATGCGTAAACTCAGTATCAAAGAGCAATTGGTTGAACCTACCTCAGCGATTAGAAGACCTATTCGGTTATCAGATGTTGCTAGTAGCTCGATGGCTTCAGATGGAGATGATGAGTCCATTATTAACTTACTCTCCTCTTCAATGTGGAACTTGACATTGCACTCTTGAAGCCGAGTTTGTAGAACATCACACTCATGCAGCAACTTCTTGTCTGCGGTTTTTGCAGTTTCTTCTCTATCCTTCTCCCGTTGAACAATTCTCTGAACATTGCAGAAGATTTAAGCGTTAAAACTTCCAGATTCTCTAATTCTTAGAAGAAGATTTACGGAATTCTTGAATAAATCTCCTGCAAAGAGCATTTTACCTCCATCTCCAGTTTTTCTTTCATTGTGCGGCTAAGCTCTTGTCTCAATTCTGATTGAGTGGTTCGAAGAGACTTGACCTCTTTGACGAGGACTTTCAGCTCTGCTTTCGATTTCACTTCCAGCTCTTCATGTTCTTTATGAAAATTCTCAAATTTTTCTCTTATATCATTGATCTGCTGCAGCAACATCTGATTTTCTTGAACAAGTGACTCATTTGCAGCCTCAATATCTGTTTTCTCGTCCTATAAGCCAGATATAAAGAAAAACATCTATAGTTGAATGCAAATAAATGTTACAGTGAAAGAAACTAGGAGAAACACAAACCTTTATAGAGTTTAACAACGATTCCATTTCCATGCATTGCTTGCGGAGTTCCTCCATATCCCACTGAATTTGAGTAAATCTTTCCTTTTCATCAAGAACTGTGTTCTCCATGCCTTGCTTGCAGCTCTCTCGAGTTGTTTCAAGTTCAACCTCTAAATCTCTTACCTACGAGACCAATTCCAAACATAAAAAGCAACATATTCAAAGAGAGCAAGATGGCTGATCATTTGAAGCAGAACAAGACACTGGAGATAATGTGGGAAAAAAAAGACAAGGGGAGTAAAATCTCATGTGATAGTTGTGCACACCTTTGTTGACAAAAATTGTCGAACAGCTAACTCTTGATTCAGCCTTGAGATAAGATCTTCCGTGTCAGCTTTTGCTGTTTCCAGTCTCTGCTTTAACGTATCAATAACCCTCTTTAACTTATGTCTCTCCTCAGACTGAAATACAATAGCCAGATCCTTATGAGTCTCAGTATCCCCACAAACCGCACCATACATGTTTCCATGAGCTTCACCATGAATATCCATCGAGCCTTGGTTAACTAAATCAGGTTCCCCTTGAGTTGACGCCTCAAAATCGCTTACATGAGTTTTATTGCTTTCAATGGTCTTTTCTTGAAACTTTCTATCACTTCCATCCAACCTCTGAATTCCAACTCCACTAGAAATGCCCTCTCCGGTTACGGTACCAGTTGCTGCAGCTCCATTAGTACTAGAAAGACGTTCAACTTTTTCCTGAAAAGAACTTTTATCTAGAAGTCCATATTCTGAGATCAACTCATGCCAATCAGTCACATTATCTACAGAAGTTGAATTCCTTGAGACAAGATTTTTGAGACTAGCATCGTCATGCTTCACTGTTGAGGCATCAGACGTCTCATCAGCAGAATCATTGGTATGATCTACGGTAACTGATGAACTACCAGGAGCATCAGAGCTGGTGGTAGGTAGAAGTGACGGAATGTCCCCAGAGGTATCTTCAGTTTCTTGATATTCATCATTAAAATCTGAAGAGAGTAAAGAGTTAAGAAGCAAATTAGTACATAGGCAATACATGCAAGGTTTTTCAGACAACATTATAAAATCAAATTTCTCACACGTTGGAGAGCTCAGAAAAATTCACTTCATATTGCATTATTTTCACAACCAAGAGAAAAAAAAAAAAAAAACAGAAGGAAAAGAAGAGCACATACACGACCTGACAGCAGCTTCAAGCTCAAGAAATGTTGCTATCAGAGCGCTTCTAGATATATCAATATCTGACAAAAGTCTATTCATCCAATCTTCCAGAGAACACCTCCTCTGCAATAGACTAAACATTTTGAGAATATTTTTGCTGTCACTAATCTTAAGAGTTGAGAGAATCGATATCTACCTCTTCCAAAAGTGTCTGGTTTTTCATCCTCAAAATCTTCTTTGGTGGTGCCTGTGGTAAGCTTTTCTTCACAAACTCCTTTTTAATCTGAAAACGCGATAGCCCAATTATCATATCCACGCAACTCATAGTTGTTTATCAAAGCCAAAACTAAGAAAAGGGTATCGAGGAAAGAAAGTACTCACAGACGAATATAACTCCAAGAAATCATTGAATCTTCTAAGTATCAGTCTAGCAGAAGTGATTCCCTCAGGAGATTGTAACGCCACTTGCACTCTATAAAACTGTTAAGGACACAAGTAAAAAACCTTAAGATCAAGAAAAACCTGACTATACCAACAGAATCAGCTATGTGTACACACCACGGCAGGATCTGAAACGCTTGATTTGGGAAGGTCAACCCAAGAAGGGACAGTGACACAGTAACTCCAACCAGTTCGAGGATCGTGTGGCCAAACCGTGTTCCGTCCTTCCTAGGACAATTTTACAGTTAGAAACAAATTCCAAACAGAATCAAAAGTCTCTAACAAATCAACGAATTTGAATATTGTAGAGAGAAAATGATACCAAATGACGAGGAGGAGCACTCCAATCCATCCCCAGAGGTAAAGGAGATCTCCCATCGTGGCGATGCGGCGGAGATACTCTTGAATCGGTATCTGCTTCTCGTCCATTAGCTCCGTCGTGACTGTAGCTGGTGGTATAACGGCGGTAATCGTCGTCCTCACCATGGAAGAAAGGGCCAGGCGAGAGGAAGCGGTGAGATAGCGACTCGCCGAAGGGACCGGAGACGTTGTAATTGAAATCGAGAAGAGAAAGATCGTGCGCGTATAGATTCATTACCTTTTTACTCTTTTGATTCTTCTTCTCCTCTCTCGATCGATTTCTCTATCAAAAACAAAATTTGCTCTCTCTGTTCTTAGAGCAACCCGTTTTGGCTTTCCTCAGTTTAAGCTATCGTATATATATATACTTTAATAATTAGTGATCTAGCAAAAAGTCGCTCTCGTCTAGTGGTTGAGCGGGTTGATGTAAATCGACTTCGTGCGACCTGAGTTCGACTGACTTTAAGAGCTGTGAAGATTAAACAAATTTAGTGACGGCCTGGTCCGTCACAGTCGTCCTGATCATCCGTGACGATAGCAAGTGCCGTCTGAGCTCTTCTTTTTTTTTGATGACATTGCAATATCTACTCAAAGGTTTGAAGAATCTTTGCTTCATTTAGAGTTTCGTCACTTAGTTCATTCTGGGGACGATGACGAAATTGCAAAAGTGCTTATATCTGCCTTAATGGAGGTTGGTACCACTCTTTAAAATTACATCATTTTTATTTATGTTATCTCATGTTCTTGTTGGAGATGGTAATTAACTTGTTGATAATATTGTTGAGGAGCTACTACTTGAAGGTTGTCCAAGTTACTCCAAGAAAATCCTTTTAATTTTATTGCTGAGAGATTCCACTTTTGCGACACCTCCTCGGTAGAAGATATACACACTGATACTTAAAAAATTTCGTAAGAAGATATGAGATCGCCTAAGAATAAAATAATTGCTCTGCATACAGGGAAGCTATTAGTAACTCACTCTGCCCCATACAATAATAATCAACCCAGTGAACAATTAATGCCTAATGCCTTCACGTGTAATAAAATTCGCCAAGTAATTAAGCTTCTCAGGATGCAGATTCCAACAAAAACATAAAAAGAGAGTTAGGATTTCGAAAGTCCAAAGAATAGCATGTAATTTTATAAGAATTGGGTGGGATTTGTTTTTTCTTTCGAATACACGATCTTACCAGACCTGAACCAAAAGTAAACGATGAAAGTACACACCCTTAGGGTCTCATACATTTGACTAGAACATCCACAAATCTCTTGTACATGTGCTGCTTCATGTACATCTTCTCAACGATTTGACGTCCTTGGCTACCTAGTTGTAGCCTTGTAGATGGGTTTCTAAGAAGAAACAAGAGATTCTGAGCTAAAACTTTGTTACCTGCCCTCCCCACAGGGTGAAGTAGCCCTGTAACATTGTGCTCCACTATCTCTTTTGTTCCTCCAGCATCTGTTCCAAGTACCTGTTCCCATCAAAAACAATGATTAGGATGAGAACATTGCATTTTTGTCTCTCCTGAATAAGAACACATGGGTTTATCTATCGTTTGTTTTCTCACCGGAAGACCATAAGCCATTGCTTCAATAGTCACTCTCCCGAATGTTTCACCAATTCCCTGTTTCACAGTTGAAGAGGAGTAAACAAAAGTTGAAGAACACTTCAAATAGCATTGATAGTTTGTTTTTGACTGCAGCCATAAAAGGATCAAGACGAGAAAGATTACCTGGGAGTTTGTGACGTAGACATCTGCTGCAGAGTATAATGAGGCAACACGAGTGGTCGCTGGAGTCCACAGAACCGAGTTCGATAAGTTTCCATTGTTTGACAAGAAGCTCAACATTTCCTTAACGTATGCAACTTTGTTGCTCTTGGACCCAACTGATCCAAGAAGAAGTTTAAGGTCTTGTTTCTGTGTTACGTTTCCAGAAAACAACAGCTTTCTTTTACCGGTGGCAGAAAGAACTGATGAATTGTCAGTAGCGGGAGACGTGATTTTCATCTTCCGTGATGAACCTCTTAAACGATGTTTTACAGAAAGACTAATCTTTTCTTTCCTGATGCCATTGAGGTTCTTGATTCTGGGCTGCTGATTACTTTTAGCTACTTGCTCTTGTTCTTGTTCTCTCTCCAGAGCCAAGGCGAGAGATTCAAGGAGAAGAAGTTGTCCCTTTCCCGGGTTTATACTGCTAAGAGACATCACAAGCATATCCTTATCTGTCAAACCGAACTCCGTTCTGACTGATTCACGTAGCTTTTGTCTTTTCTCCTTCATCATCTCTTGCGTTAGTGTCGGAGTATTTAGTGAAGAGTAAATCCCAGCAACAAAAGCTAACTCATCATTAACAGACAGCGGAACAATAACCGGCTGAGACCTCAGCTTTATATGGTCCTCTTCACACCATGTTAACCATTGTTTGCTCTGTACTTCAGATAGAAATATTAGCAGTTTCACTCGGTCAAGCACAGGTTTCGCTCGATCAAAGTACTCTCGCCTGTTCTCCATCACCCACCAAGCGATTTGACTTCCACCAGCTGGATGATGATCCATATATTGATCTGCGGAGATTGTAACAAACATCATAATGAGTATCAAATTGAACATGTTTTAGCAGTTGTTTTGATGAACAATATATAAAGTTTGCACTAATAGAAAACAATCTAAAGTGAGCATGCTATTTATGACAATTTATATTATAAAATGCATTTTCCAGTATTATAGCTGAAGGAGGAATGACCTATGCACTTTTCTAAACATGATAGTTAATAGTGATGTCAAAGAATCAGCAGATCTATTTTTCCTTACCTATCCATGAAGCACAGACTGCTGATCCTGCAATGACAAGATCTGCTTTCATGGCAGTTTTGAAGCTGAGTTCTCCTTTGTCTTCAACCACTTTGATCCTTCTTCTTGTGAGCTCTTGCAATAATCCACCCCTTCTGCTCAGAACTACTGCATATACTGTTGCACCACAGCTCAAAAGCTCGGAAGCCAACTCCATCATTGAAATTGGAGCACCAGTCATTGATAGTTCATGGAAAAGTAGAACGAATCTCCTAGACCAAACAAGACGTTTAAAGTCTGATTTCCTGTCACAGGTCCCTGATCGCTTTTGCGGACTCCATTCAAGAACTCTATCCTCCAGTGATCCAAAAGGACCAAAAAGCTTACCGTAGGTAACATTTGTGTTTGGAAGTTCTTGATCTTGCTCATCCAAGTCCTTAGTCTCCATCACTTTTCTCACCTTCTGCTTACTATGAATCCTAGCACGTGAACTACGACTAGCTTTTCTGGTCCTCCTCCTGGAGCTCAAGCTTCTTTGAGATGTGTCATCCTCTTTCTTGGCCAAAGTTACATGCATCCTCTTATTTACACCTATATGGACTATATTGGTAGTATCTACTACAGAATGAGAATTCTCATTAACAACTGAATCAAGTCGTTTATTCTGCTCCACATGCAAAACATCTTCTCTCAGTTTGCCTCCAAACCGTAAGAACTCAACTTTGTTATCATCATCATGAGCCCATCTGGACTGAACATAGAATCCAAGATATGTCCAAAGAGTAATCAACAGTAACCAATAAAGCAGACGGTTACTTCTGAACCACTGAACAGCTCCACCACTACCTTTGCCGTCTCTATGTGGAGTCCTGCCTGAATGCACTCTCCTAGATGTAGGTGAACCCCTTGGAGTAGACCTCCCTGACAATGAAGACTTAAAGCTACCTAGTTTCAGTGGTGATAGCCGAAGATCATCCATAGTTTTTCTTTACTACAATAGCATCCTCAGTATCCTATTCCCCAGACTTCAATAAGCCACAAAACCACTAGCATTTAGACACACTCCATCACTTCATTCCATGAGTTCTCAGATCTCAGTGAAACTGCAATTTAGGAAGAGAAATCAATCATCAGCATGCAATACATATCAAATAAATGTGATTCAGCTATACATAGTAACAGTTATGATCCAAGTTCATCAAGTAATCCCTAATTGCTTCAATTGCAAGGATTACGAATTCCAATTTGGTGATATGAAATCGCGTTGACGAAATAAAGAAAGTTGGTCGGTTATGGAAAATAAAAAGCCGCGAGAGAGAAATCAATGTCACTATCAAGATCAAGATCTTAGCGAGTATCTTACTATTTCCGATAGGTCAGACTCGCGTTTTCCGAAGGTAAGTGAACTTGAGAACTTCCGACTTGGATCGCCGATGCTCCAATGTTGAAGCTGCTCCCAAGTACAAAAAAGAAAGCAAACGCTAAATCAGATTAAGGCGAAATGTTGAGAAATCGACGATCTAAAGAAAAACTAAAGTCAATGTTCTTCTACAAAACTAGAAGAAAATCGTCGATGCAGAGAGATGAGTAACAACACAAGCTTGCAGAAGAAGCAGACGAAGACGAATTAGAAAGAAACGAAAAGAAGAAGAAGAAGAAGGCATTGCATTGCATACAGTTTTCTCCGGTAATCTAAGCTTGCGCCGTTCCAAGAGCTAAGCAGAATCGCGGCGATGGAGAAAGAGAAAGAGAGAGAGTGCTCGGAGACTCGGAGTTAACGGAGTCAGAGAGCCGTGCACGAGGAGAGAGCGGAGAGAGGTGGCTGATTCTTATTTGTTCGATTCTTTCTAATCGTTTTTTTTTTTCCAATTGTTCCTTTTTTTTTTCTAATCGTTGTTTTGCTGACGTCAAATTTAATTTAAAAATAATGATCGTTTTGCTTGGAGTATGTGATGGGTCACACGTGTAAGCGACTCGTGCGGGATTCTCTGTTTTTATTATTTTACGTGTGAATTTCCAAGGACATTTGTGAAATAGTACTAAAATTAAGGGCACATTTTAAATTATTAACTGACGACATAATTTATTTTTTTTAGAAACAAGAAAAAAAAAGAAGACAACATTGTAGAACATTTTTCTCACTTAAACGAATATTTTCCTCGCTAAAACATCAAGGAACAGACGGAGTATTACTTAAATAATGATGAAATTTAAATATAAATTAATTAACCGACAAAAAGAAATCAATTGAAGTGGTTACAACGTCGTTTTTTTTACGTCAATTGATCTATAAGAAAACGGTAGACGGGACTAATCTCTATTTAATGTGATTTATTTACTAACTAGTTTACAGCCCGCGCATATATCTACAAAATCAATACATAATATAAGAAATAGAATAAGTTAATGAGTTTTATTTGGTCAGACAATTACAGAGTTTTCGATAATAAGGTGGCATGTACATTATGTGTATACGATCTCATCAAAATAATATATTAGTTACAACAATAATAAGTGACATAAATGAAACGTAGGTAAGAAGAAGAACAATGAACAAAAAAAATTGTACCATTAATAGCAAAATAGGTGAAGTAAACAAAGGCTATCAATCTAAACTAAATTCATGTAGTTGGATTAACCAGAATGTAAAACTTCTAAGAAATCACAGAATATCAAAAACATGTAGTTAGCCTAAAATCTCAAATTGATATGACATTTTCGTGATCCAAAATAAAAAACTGAGATTAAAGTTTTTAGTTAAAA